GGAAAAAAAACAAAGAGTCTCAACAAAAACTGAGAAAATATGAGCATTTCTACCTGTAGGAGTAAACGGTGATTTATTCATGGCCATCAGTCAGAAGACAACTTGACAAGTATAATTAGTTACTGACAATCTCAAAGATCAAAATAACAGGATCTAAGGCAAAGGTGGCTAAAACTGAATTTTAAAAAAAAAAAATCAAACTGACCTCATAATTAATGCTTAAATCAGGAAAGTCTCAGTACATTTCTTAGATACTCAAGCACTCACTTTGAAGTAAACCTAGTAAAATTTGTCATTGTACCTAGCTACATTTTGGGGGGTGTTTCTAATAGATCATTTACTCCAGAAAACATCTGTTATCTGAAATCCAAAGGTTGGGTTCAATAACCTCATGAGAGCCTAATTCCCTGCAACGTCCTCAATTTGGGTAGAAGAATTTATAATACTTAGAAAGTTATATAAAAGCAAATCCTTAAACTTCACTTTTGTGTGTGTGTGTGTGGTACGCAGGCCTCTCACTGCCGCGGCCTCTCCCGCCGCGGAGCACAGGCTCTGGATGCACAGGCCCAGCGGCCATGGCCCACGGGCCCAGCCGCTCCGTGGCACGTGGGATCCTCCCGGACCGGGGCACGAACCCATGTCTCCTGCATCGGCAGGCAGACTCCCAACCACTGCGCAACCAGGGAAGCCCTAAACTTGACTTTTGAGGGAATTACATTCACACAGCAAAATTCACACAACATGAATCTGTTAATTCTTTGTCAAACTACCTTAAAAATCAATTTGTCTTTCTTGTTACTTTAGGAAATAGAGGCTTATGCCTCATTAATCAGTAGGGAGCAGTTCAGAAGCAGTTACTTACTCAAGTTTTTAGGTTATACTAGACAGACCACTTTTTTTTTTTTTTTTTTTTTTTTGCGGTACGCGCGCCTCTCACTGTTGTGGCCTCTCCCGTTGTGGAGCACAGGCTCCGGACGCACAGGCTCAGCGGCCATGGCTCACGGGCCCAGCCGCTCCACGGCATGTGGGATTTTCCCGGACCGGGGCACGAACCCGAGTCCCCTGCATTGGCAGGCTGCGCCTCAACCACTGCGCCACCAGGGAAGCCCCAGACCACCTTTTAAATCAAAGCATCCCTTAAAAAAAAAGAAAAAAAAACCCAGTCCAAATAGCAAGTTTACAGTTCCAATAATTTAAAATATAACAGGGGTGAGTACACACACTTACAAACTTAATAATGAGCTTGATGAAAGTAGAAGGCTTGCTGATCTGTAAAACAAGATCTTACTTCTCTTTGAGATTAAGGCTGTTATGTAAATTTGCCCAATGAATCTTTAAAATAAGTGACTCTCGGTTCCCACCTAATTGAGAGACTCTATTCCACTAAGCAGAGAGACCACCTGGACTCACTCAATGTTGATATGTATGCCCCTGCTACACAGTGAAAAAAGGGCTTTCTAAGAAAAAGATATGGTATGTTTGGGGTTTCAACATAAAGCTTCTCCTCAACAAGTAAATATCAGCGGAATTGAGGAGAGGCAAAGGTTATTAGCTGGGACTGCCTCTAAGCAACACAGTTTTGGCTGAGACAGTGAAAGGCTTTTAAAACCAATCTTTAAGAGAAGCATGAAGAAGCCATTCCACCTTCCTCCTGCGTGGACAGACTTCTATCTACTTAGACAATCTTTACTGAGCACTCTACATCCACTGGAGTAGGCAGGATTAGCCATATCCTTCTCTCAGAGGGTTTCTAATCTGAGATAAAATAATTCAGAGCAACCTCTAATTCAGCAAGACCCTGTATTGTGATGGGCTTGACAGGAGTTCAGAATGACATCACAGTGGGTCAGAACAGTAAGTAAAAGTCATACAGGAAATTACATTTAAGTTTGTAATTGATTTCTTTTTTTTTTTTTTTTAAGTATTAAGAACTAGAATTTCCTGGAGGATTTTACCCATTTTGGTGGTGACCTCTGGGAGAACAAACTTTTGTTTTTCCTTCCAACGAGAAGGAAAAGATTCTCTGCCATTCATTAAAATTTAGTATATATAGCAAAGACCATAAAACCTTTAAAAAACAAATGACTAACTGGAAGAAATCTTTGTAAAATATTTCACAAACAAAATTAATTTCTTTAATAACAATGAGAAGCCCATGCACCACAACAAAGAGTAGCCCCTGCTCATCACAATTAGGGAAAGCCTGTGCGCAGCAACGAAGACCTAACACAGCCAAAACTAAATTTTTAAAAATTAAATCTTTAGGGCTTCCCTGGTGGCGCAGTGGTTGAGAGTCCGCCTGCCGATGCAGGGGACACGATGCCCCGGTCCGGGAAGATCCCACATGCCGCGGAACTGGGCCCGTGAGCCGTGGCCGCTGAGCCTGCGCATCCGGAGCCTGTGCTCCGCAAGGGAGAGGCCACAACAGTGAGAGGCCCGCGTACCGCAAAAAAAAAAAAAAAAATCTTTGTGGTCTAAATGTACCTCTGCTCAAACTTCTATGGAAAATCTTCCTTTACCTAAGGTGCATCACTCCAAAATTTACTGCTGAATTTTCTAGCCCTGGGCACAGAACACAATGCTAGCACAACAGAATTAGGCTGTCACATGATCCTAGTTCTGCCACCCCACCAATACCAACAATTGCCAAAAAGCACATGCCTCCAAAACCAAACTTTGTAAGTCACAGCACCAAAAGGCACACAGCTCATCATCATTGGTGTAACCATCACTCCTTCCTACTCCTTTCTCGGTCATGTTTAGTAAAGATAACAAAAGAACTTAAAAATCACAATTAATGGAGGGCAAGGACGAGGTCAAAAATAGGGATTCTGTAGGCTTAATGTGGACAGTCTACTTCTTACAGGGCTTTTGAAAGGAAAGATCCCAGCAATAGAGATACTTATTTACACTCAACAGTGGTCCCCTGTGATTTCACCAAAACTCTAAGAGCCTAGAATTTTAAATGTTCTCAGATCCTCTGGCTCTACCTGGGATAAATCAACTACTCTTTAGCCCATCTCTAACATGACAGATTGGTAAGTCCATCAATCCTTACATATTCTATCTGCCTCTGTCAGATAAGTTCTGGTTCTTGGGAGGATAACAAACGGTTTAGTGCCAAACCCCAGTAGCTTTTAAAGAGCAAATCAAAAATTTTGAAGAATAGTCAGACTTCCCTGGTGGTGCAGTGGTTTAAGAATCCACCTGCCAATGCAGGGAGCACGGGTTCAAGCCCTGGTCCGGGAAGATCCCACATGCTGCAGAGCAACTAAGCCCGCGTGCCACAACTAACTGAGCCTGCACTCTAGGCCCGTGAGCCACAACTACTGAAGCCCGTGAGCCTAGAGCCCGTGCTCCACAACAAGAGAAGCCACCACAAGGAGAAGCCCGTGCACTGCAACGAAGAGTAGCCCCCGTTTGCCACAACTAGAGAAAGCCCGCACACAGCAATGAAGACACAACACAGTAAATAAATAAATAAATAAATAGTTTAAAAGAACAGTCAATCTTTGTCTCCAAATACACACATTTGAAAGCAGTGAACAACTCTAGGTTTTATCAGAATATTCTCCCATCCTCTTTCTTTCCCGCCTCCAGAAACAGGCTAGTAAAACCCACTCACTCTAATACAGGTATTGATACAATATAGGCCCAAGTATGTGGCTGCCAACTAAGAACCCTAAAAGGTTCTTAGGAGGGGATATACTCAGACCCACAAATCTTGGATCTCCACCCTAAAATGTCTACTATCACTTTTTGATAATCGTAAGGAGATCTCCAAGGAACAATGACCAAGACTGGAAGCAAAAAGGTTTATTTTAACATACTTCTCCAGAGCACCTCTGTGCTTCCCCACCACACCTCTGGGTGCTGGGGTATTAAAATTTTTGGAGTCGGGCATGATTAGTTAAGAAATATTTGACTCTTTAGCATAAAGCAAAATCCAGCTCCCTCTCTACCACAAATTAGAAGATTTCATGTGTATACCCATACATCTGCTTCTCCAGGTGGGGAAATATTTGTCCCTAATTAGCAATATATATTCAAAGCAAACTATCATGTAGAGTAATGCAGGTAACTACAACGCCTAAGCCCTGCCACATGACTCATTTAATTTGCTTACAACCATTTACAGAGAGGACAGGCGGGCTAGATTTTACTTGTCCTTTGCCTTGTCACGAACAACTAAAACAGTGAAAATTGAAACAGATGATATGGAAAGTACCTTCCAGAGGTTGTACTGCCACTTTAAGTCAAAGGCATATGTATGCAGAATAAAGCTGTTGTAAAATGAAACCAAGAAAAAGTTTAATTCAGAAAGAACATGGGTTTTTTAGTCCTTTTAGCTAAAGAAAGATAAAGATCAAAAAATGATAAAAAGCTCCATCAATAGGAACTATGGTACTTCAACCAATTTTAAGACAAACACCACATCTTCTTTGATTTCACAGTCTAAACTTTTTGAACCCAAAGGGAGGGCAAGTGGGCAAGGTGGGCAAGATGGCTGGTGACCTAGATGGACTGTGCTCTCTGGGTACTGTGATATGGCAGGCATTACTGCCCACTTCTCCAGATGCATCAAAAAATAATTACTCTTGATTGCACTGGTGCTCTTCTGTGCAGTTTTCCTTGCCCACAAATCTGTTATAGCAGTATTGGGATAACGTAATTTAAGGGTTTTCCATGTGTTAGTATAAGAAGTAGACCAAGCAGACTACAGAGCAGAAAGGAACCAAGAGTTTAAGGGGAAGGAAATGCTCTTCCCTCTAAATTTTCACATACAACTCATTCCTAATCATGGTTGCTCTAATCCAATTGGTTCTAATGCTTTTCTCCACATGGAATTAAAGTTGTTACTTCAGGGAAGAATTTAATCCAGCTCCTCCTGCCTTGCAAAGGTTTTTTTTAATCAGAGGGTGGCTGACTTCAATAAGAGCATTTACAGTATCCCAAGGGCTTCTTTTCCTTTAAAAAAAAAAAAAAATTTAACACCCTTGTCAGACTCCCCTTGTTGGAAGTTTTGGGAGCAAGTTCCTATAGAACGGTCACTCTGAAACCTATGGTCACAGACCTGTAAGAATTTGATTAAACCGTATCCACAGAAAAATGCACAAGCAACAAAATTCTACAAGCCAATTATGGACCCAGGTTAAGAACTTCTAGCTTATAAGAGAGAAAGACTATGGAAAGGATCAAGGTCAGTTGGGGGAGTGGCACCCTTGAAGTCTAAAACAGGACCTCTCCCTCCCTTCCTTAACCAGCAAGCAGGAATACAGTGGGAGTACTAGTTCCTGAGAATAAGGGGTTCCACTCATGGGTAACTTTGGCTTGGGCACGCTATCTTAGAACTGCACTGCCCACAGAGTCTTTCCTTCAGTCTTCTTCTTTCAGAGGTATCAGACATGCCCCATGGTTGTTAGACTCTACCAGACCTAAGTGTATTCCTGCTGTCTTCTCTCTCCCTTTGCACATCCCAGGCATTTTCCTCAATAAAATTCTTATACTTCTAATCCTACCTTGGGATCTGCTTCTAGGAGGAGCCAAACTACACACGTGCAGCTGCTGCTGTCTCCACAGAGCCCTGAGGAAGGCACCTTGGAGTCTTCCAGTCCTCACTCTAGCACCACACTCCAACACAGAAACTAAACCCCTTGAGACAATAACTTCTTACACATGCCCAGTGTGATAAAGCCCCTGGAAGCCAACAGACTGATGATGGTCTGGTTTCACAGATACAATGGGTGGTTTTCAGATTTTTGCCTTCAGGTCTGAGACAAGGCCTACTAAGGATAAGTGCCAATGATATGGGAGAAATGGCCTGGAAGGCCAAATCAATAATGTCAGATGTATAGAAGGCCTTACCTTTGTAAGGCCTGAAAATATGACCCTGACTCACAGCAGAAATATCTTTTACATTTATACAATAGTAAACATGGAGCTGTACAGTCATAACCAAATTCTGAAAAGTGATACTATTCGACAGGGAGAAGATGGTGTTAGGTCAAGTAAAAACAGCCAAAGCAAAAATCCTATTCCAGAGTATGAGTGACCTTTTGTATTCCCTAGAGAGATTTCAACAACAGTTAGTATAAGATTCAAAGTCAGTTCTTAAGTGTGCCAGTAGGCACTACTGAGTGTGCAAATGCTCTATTGTTTGAGGGTCACAATACCCCAATCCCAGAGCAGTTCGAGGCTTTTAGCCGAAGAAGTAGGTGAAATTCTGAGGTAAATACAAGGGATCATGTCAGAATCCAGCCATGCTATACCACTTGTCCTAAATCATTTCTGTTCCACGGTTAACACTTAGGGCATGCAATATTAAATGACTGTATCAACCTACCCTTTTCTCCTACTAAGACATCCAAAGATCAAATCAGCATTATTTTTCAATTAGCACTGTGATAAAACACTATTATATAAAATAAGACAGAGAAGGAGAATCTTTTTAATTAGCTTTCTCCTGAAATTCTCAAAGAGCAAAATAACCAAATGCTTTGTTTTCCAACCTTTTTTTTTTTTTTGCCCTTTATTCTTGGTTTATGATGTTAAACTCTTAATGACAAAGAAGCAAAGCCCACTTAGCTAGTTTACCAACACATTTGAAGCAAATCATAGTCATACTTCTATGTTAACCAAGCATGACAGCAAGGTGATTGAGTAGCTTTCCAAACTACCAGAGCAGCAGGCACTTGCAGAGGCTGCAGTTAAATCAGCACTTCATAAATCGTGCAGGCTCCTGCCCATTTAGATCTCTCTATGCAGAATCGGCAGTCTAACACTGGCTCTCCCAAGCATTAAAAAATCATCACTCTGCTAACCCAACTCACTGTTCAGACGGGTCTTCTTGAATGCAGCCTTTATTACAACCTCACTGCTGCTTCCTACACTGAAGGAATACCATGTTTTTAAGTCAGGAGTTCTTCTTTCTCGCTTCATTATAATCAGGGGTCTTAACAACGACCCCGATACTGTTACAAAGCACACTGCTTTATAACAGTAAAGCTCTGGAAAACCCAAACAAAAGACACGTCACCCGGTGACGTCAGCCTATATACAGTTCTGTGTGGTCGCAGCACATAAGCAAATCCATTCTTGTGCCGTTTCTCGGAAAAGCTTTTCAGTAAACGCACTCATGCTGCTCCAGGAGCTCTTCTCTGCAACAAGCCGCCCATCTGCCATCAACAAGTTAAGACCGAGAGAACTAACGGCTGCAGAAAGGAGAGGCTGAAGCTTTGATTAACCAGCTGAGCAGTTAGAGGAGGACGAAATTAATAACATATTCAAAACTGATTTAGGGGATCAGAGTGGTCACAGAAAATGAAACCAATGCTTTCGAGAGGAATATCCTAAGGAAAAAACAACTCACCCTGGTGGATTCAATTTTACTCGGAAAGCCTGGGACACAGAAAACAGGAAACTGGTCAAAGGCTCCCGCATGTTAGAGCCTTTTACAGACTCACTGCGTTGAGTCTGACAACCGAGACTGAATGCAGGCTCCAATGTGCTCAGAAGAATGGGTAAGTCCATGTATTTATGTGTCTTGTACAGTCAGCAAGGAATCAACGCTTTTAAAATAATAAGCCACTGAATTCACATTTTATGAGGGAGATCACTGTCACATTTTTGGATTTTGAGGTTTAGGTAAAAACATATATTGCTGATGACAGGATGTGTTTTATCTTCTTTCTTAATGGTTTAAGTTTTGTTCTAGTCATACTAACAAGGTTAGTGTTTCTGCAGCAAATGAAAAATAAGTTATATGTAGTTAAATCTTTTGCCATAATGATATGTTGTTGTTGTTTTAATAGCCCATACGCTCTGCTGAAAAATATCCTATCTTCTTGTCTTCCTTAAATTATATTCTGCAGGCTTACATTTCAAGTGGCCATTAGGGGCCCCTATGCTGGCAGCAATATATGCAATGAGTATGGTTTTAAAAATGCTGCCTGCCCTGGGTATGGCATGTCCACCCAAATGCCGCTGTGAGAAGCTGCTCTTCTACTGCGACTCTCAGGGCTTCCACTCGGTGCCAAACACCACAGACAAGGGCTCTCTGGGCCTGTCCCTGAGGCACAATCACATCACAGAGCTTGAAAGGGATCAATTTGCCAGCTTCAGTCAACTTACCTGGCTCCACTTAGACCATAATCAAATATCAACAGTAAAAGAAGATGCTTTTCAAGGACTATATAAACTTAAGGAATTAATCTTAAGTTCCAACAAAATATTTTATTTACCAAACACAACTTTTACCCAACTGATTAACCTGCAAAATTTGGACCTGTCTTTTAATCAGCTGTCATCTCTGCACCCAGAGCTCTTCTATGGCCTCCGGAAGCTACAGACCTTGCATTTACGGTCCAACTCCCTGCGGACTATCCCAGTACGCCTGTTCTGGGACTGTCGTAGTCTGGAGTTTCTGGATTTGAGCACAAACCGTTTGCGAAGTTTGGCTCGCAATGGATTTGCAGGATTAATCAAACTGAGGGAGCTTCACCTAGAGCACAACCAGCTGACGAAGATTAATTTTGCTCATTTCCTACGGCTTAGCAGTCTGCACACACTCTTCTTACAATGGAACAAAATTAGCAACTTGACATGTGGGATGGAGTGGACCTGGGGCACTTTAGAAAAGCTAGACCTGACTGGAAATGAAATAAAAGCCATCGACCTGACAGTGTTTGAAACGATGCCTAATCTTAAAATACTCCTCATGGATAACAACAAGTTAAACAGCCTTGATTCCAAGATCTTAAACTCCCTGAGATCCCTCACAACCGTTGGCCTCTCTGGCAATCTGTGGGAATGCAGCCCTCGAATATGTGCTTTGGCCTCCTGGCTGGGCAGTTTCCAAGGTCGGTGGGAGCATTCCATCCTATGCCACAGCCCCGACCACACCCAAGGAGAGGATATACTAGATGCAGTCCACGGATTTCAGCTCTGCTGGAATTTATCAACCACTGTCACCGCCATGGCTACAACTTATAAAGATCCAACCACTGAATATACAAAAAGAATAAGCTCATCAAGTTACCATGTGGGAGACAAAGAAATCCCAACTACTGCGGGCATAGCAGTTACTACTGAGGAACACTTTCCCGAACCAGACAATGCCATCTTCACTCAGCGGGTAATTACGGGAACAATGGCTTTATTGTTTTCTTTCTTTTTTATTATTTTTATAGTGTTCATCTCCAGGAAGTGCTGCCCTCCCACTTTAAGAAGAATTAGGCAGTGCTCAATGATTCAGAACCACAGGCAGCTCCGATCCCAAACACGACTCCATATGTCAAACATGTCAGACCAAGGACCATATAATGAATATGAACCCACCCATGAAGGACCCTTCATCATCATTAATGGTTATGGACAGTGCAAGTGTCAGCAGCTGCCATACAAAGAATGTGAAGTATAATATCTACCCATCATCAAAAATCACATCAGATAAGTAACCTATTTTACATAGTAGGGGCTAAATACATATCTAATTTTTACCAATGGTGACATTAAGGCTAATTTTTCCAAACCAAGTGGAGACTTAGGTTTCTGACGTGTTGAAATATTTTTAATTTTTTTTTAATGAAACCATATTTTCAGTGTTAAATGAAGCGATGCTCACATTAATTTGCACTCTTGTTGGAAAGTCTAAAAATGCTTAATTCAAAATAAGACATTTCATGTATGTAATTATACGCTATCGTGGGTAAACATTTACACTAAGGTCTCCATATGCTATTTTTTTCTACTGAAAACAGTTTGGAAAGAAGCTACTGAGTAGAAAGAGATATGGATCAATACTTGTTTGATCATTGCTCTCTACCCCAAGTACCACAACTTGGCTTGCTGCTTAAAAGGAGACTTAGCAAAGTTCTCTTGTATGATAATTTGGTATTTACTCAAACCTATTTACTGCCAGCGTGGGGAGTAGCATTTCACATATGCTGAAGACTGGTCAATATTAAACACTCTTCTTCCAGAGTTTTTACCTGGGTTAATAGATATTATCAAAGTCCATATCATGAAATCAGAACCCTTTATGTAATTCTAATACTTTAATATATTTAAACAATGAATCCAAGTGATTGTGAAAAGGTCTCATTACAATGAAATCAATACTAAATAATTACACTGACTTCGTTTCATATCTCTAGTTTGACTTATAATGGACATGTTGATTTTTGTGGCATTTAGATACTTACTTTAAACTAGTGTTAAATTATCACTTTACTAATTAGTTTACTAAATCCTATATATACATTTATATGTGAAAAAAGACTTAGAAATTATTTTGGAGAGAAAAGAGATAAACTGAGTCAATTTAGCAATCCTATGACCAGCTGCTCACTCTAGTTTGAAAGCACACACAAATACACTCTCTCTCCAGTCTCTCTCTTTCTCCCCCTGTCCTCCACCCCCCACCTCCATCTCTCCCTCAACTGCCAAGATCAAAGATGCCTTGACAAAGGGGTTTAAACCTCTTTCTTCTGCCTTTTCCTGATCTTCAAGCCTCAAAGAGCCAAATTAAAAATAACTGGCTAGCAACAGGCATAATACTGATTCTTGTTAGAATATATTTTAAAGGAACCTTGAAAAAATCACTTTATAAATATTATATGCTAAATTTTGACTTTTTAATGGATACCTATTCTTACTGTAAGAGCAGGTCCTTCTAAGTGAAGGGAACAACACATATCTGAGGCAAACCTTCTCATGGCAGAACACAATATATGCCTATGCAGCCACACAGTGGTAACTCGAAGGAGGTGAGGGGATGAAAGAGAAAGGCAGCATTTTGAAATATGACTCTTGCTGAAACAGGTTAGCAAAGTTAAAACGTAGCCAAGCAAATGGGCAACTATACATGATCTGCATCAAACAGGGCAAGGCCCAGGGACCTGCAGCTGGAAAGGGGACGGGGGGAGGTTCTCTGGTATTAATATAAATGTTCAGTAATTAAAAAATGATAATGATGCCACACTTTTCATGTAGAAAAGAGCCACAACTTTGTTTCTTCCATTATGATTTCTATGGAGAAACTATGACATATTTAGGATTTAGATGCAAGTTACCAATTGACACAGAATTTTTCCATAAATGAGGTGCCATGTATGTAGTAGCAAAAACCATGAAATTAGACTACTGACTTGATTTTAGAAGAATGAGCATTTTTACAACTGACATTTGCTGATGAGAAAAAAGGCATAAATTCGTAGAGAAAACCACTACCATAAAAAAAAGTTATCTTTTACTTAACATGATATCCTTCATTCAAGGCATATTTCTTCCCAGGATTGAATTGAACACATGTTAAGATTACAGTTTAATCCATGAGATTTAATACTAAGAGAGGGATGTCTACCTACATTTCAAATAAAATGTGTCTCAGTAAAAAGCAGACAAGATCACAAATTATGGTAAGAATGTGCTCTCTACAATTTTTAAGGTGGGTAGATTAGTTTGGCAAAGTCTCAGCCCATCTCAGCTGATCCTGAGCAGTGAGCATTTCACCTCTTGTTAAACCAGACACTAGGCCTGCCTGGGCAAGGACAGAAGCTGATTTTACGGCATAGAGCACGTCTCACAGCTTCCTTACAGAAGGGCTGGATCAGAAGCCCCATTACAAATGAGAGCTCCACAAGCTAAAATTTACCAACCCATTTATCAGGGTAACCATGGCCATTTGTCAGAGAACAACTTTATCACAATACAACTGTGTCCTGGACACACAAGATTCCACTAGCCCTGGAGGATAGCAGAGTAGTTTCCATCATTTCAACCACAACCCAAAATTAATTGAAACTGTGAGCAGAAGGGTGAGAAATAGTGGCTGGGAGTCCCCACATTAACCCTAAAGATTACAGTTAGTGAAATGGACCGTCAATTGGCAAAATCCTTAATGTATGTAGGAAAGAAAATTGGAAAAGCAAGCCATTTAGTAATTCAGGGGAACAGCATAGCCAAGGCCACCAGGGCATACTTTTCAGTTGAAAATTAACAGATTTTTTTTGGCCCTTCGTTTTTTGGGCAATGCTCTCTGAGAAAAGTGAATAACCGTGCCAAATAGCATTTTCCATTTCCATTTAAAGCGCAAATTTCCCTTTTCAATTGCCTATAGAAGGCAGAATTTCTTTTAATTTTGGTCTATTTGTGTTTTGGTATCAGCACAGGTTTGAAGATGAGGCTGTTAGTCATATGTGCTCTCTTTACCAACTGGCTCGGGTGGAAGAGCATCACAACTACACTGCAGATCCTGGTAATATAATGTTAGGCCTTTTGTCTTTTGCTGTCGTTTTATCCTCTTCAATGCCCCCTCTCCCTTTTTTCACTTTAAAGATTAGAGGAAAATGACCACTTAAAAAACAGAAAAATAATTAAAGCTCTCTGGAAAAAGCAAGCTAACAAAGGCTATGATACTGTACCCACCTAGTAACCAAGAGCTAGCTTGGAATCATTTATATTCATTTCTGTAGCTTGCCAGGGATTTCAATCACCTTTCTGAAATGAGAGTGAGCTGATAAATTTGCAAATCCATACACAACTCAGAGAATACCCTCTGCCAACATCAAATAGCAAAGATACTAATTTTTTAAGCCAAAAATCTGCACTAACACATGTAATTTCTTACTGTGCCTAAGTTAATTTCTGTACCAATTCATTGAATGGAATTGATTTTACTTTCCCACTCCACTAATTATTAAAATCCATCTGCTTATTCTAATGCTAGTCACCAAGAGCTAGACTCTTTCCAATAAAAATGAACCCTATGTAACACTAGGTCTTAATCCTAAAATTCAAAACAGGCGTATCATTTTCTTAAGGCATACGTCCTACGCAACTATGGGGGGGAGCTATAAATGTCCCTTTCTCTCCAAAGTGTGGCTATCAGTATGAAATTTTGAAATATTATTTTTAGAAGATGACTTACATGATCATTTTCCTAATAAAGCAATACAATGACAGACTCGTCTCAAAAATCTGTTTTGGGACATGCTTTTCAATATCTTATTGGTTAAATTGCTTCAACCAGAAAAAGACAGAAGACAAAAGTGATAAGGCCATCCACAGATAATTAAATATTTCTGTTCCTAACCTAGGGCAAACTCATAGTACTTAAATAATTTAAGGCAAAAAACAAGTAGTAAATGACTGTTTAAGCTTTCATACTGCTATTGCAGACATTTGGAAATGTCTGCTACTCCTTCAATTAACCTATTCTTCCTTGGCAATTTTTTAAAAGCCTGATCTATGGAATGTTTGATGAACATTCCTATCAACACTGAAACTGGAAACTGAAAGTACAGTCCAAACCTATTGTGTTCAATCACCCTAAGCCATTTGGGTGGGTGGGTGGGGGTGGGAGGTGGTCAAGTGGGTGGGGAGGGTGGGAAGAAAATACGATTATACTGGGGTGGGGTGGGGGGGTGGGGGTGGGGGACAAGTGCAGTGTACAGGGAAGTTTTGTTATTAAAATTGTGTATACTGTAAACAGCCAATGTCTTTCTTTTTTTTCCAAAGCTTTTCCTTGGTAACCTATCAATTTTGACATGTGAAAGTTGAAAACTCATTTATGACAGATATAGAAACCTTAAATGAACAGTTGTTTTGTACCATGTTCTCTATAATGCCAAATGTGCCAGTTGGAAAAGGGGCAGCTAATCATCACGTGTCTTCATTCGGAGACAGGCAAAACTAGGCTAGGAAGTAAGGCAGGGAGGGGAGGGCTGGCTAAGAAACCACCATGCCAGTAAACAGCAGCCATGCAATAAGAAGCTGCTCTGTCACAAGTTTTACCAAGTGGACAAACAGCTGTCTGTGCGGCTCACAGGGCCAAAGGTTGGCCACCATCCCCCACCCTCCCCTGTGTTCCGCCACAGCCTGGGGAACTTCAAAAAGGTACTCAATTGCCCATACCCAGCAAACAGTAACTTGGCCTCTACCTCAGGGATCTGTTGGAGTAGATCCTAGCAGTACCTTGCACACCACTCCTGGGAAGGAGGTCCACAGGTGCTGACCATGCTGGGGTCTCCAGGATCCCTACATGACCCATTCTATCCCAGACACCAGCTCAGTAAGTATGGATAGGGGAAAAGGAGGGAAGATTTTTAACTAGCCTCCCTTGCTTGGCATAAACATCCTCAGGACAGGATGCTTTGCCTCGGCAACACTGGGGGCAGAAATGGCCCCGGCCTTGGGAATTGACTGCCACAGGTCACTGTACTTGCCAGGGTGACCTTACTACTTCTCCAGGCCAGGAGCAGTACAACAGGACCAGACAGGCAGGAATAAACACCTAGGGATGAGGGGATCAGAGACGCTAAGGGAATTCTTACACCAGGAACCTCAGAAGAATTAGGGCAGAGGCAGGAAGCACAATACAGAATTTTACTGTCAAACTAACTCATCCAGTATGCACTAGAGGGCACAGGTGATAGTAGTTTCAAGTTGCACAAAGGAATGAGTTCCTATCCTTTATAGAGTTAAAAGCAGAGCTTATTAACATAATTCTCGTACATTTTAATCTTGAAAATCCCATGTAAAAGCTACATCTGATTTCTTTATCAGTTATTTTAATTAGTTTTGCCTGTATGCCACAGCATTCTCAGGTTCCCACTCAGATTTATAATAGAATTCTTCAAGGTCTGTGTGAAGAGATTTTTTTTTCTTTCTTTAAATATATCTAACCAGCTGGGTACTCGAGTCTCCCTTAGAGAGACAAAATGTACTACAAATTGTCTTTTACAAAGAAAGAAGGGAAAAAGAGGTGAAAATCACAGCTATTCCCACATCTCCCCTTAGCATGAGTTCCTCCTCACTAGCCAATGTTTTGGGAACACTTCTAAGGGACAGATGCTGAGCCTCCCTGAAGCTCTATCTGAAGGAGACCTTAAAGAGCAAGACATCTCCAAAGGCAAGTACAATGAAACATGCTTTGCTGCAAAGCCCACCAGTGAATATACCCTCCCTTTAAACACGGAGGCCAAGAGCAAAGCTAGCCCATCCTCCATCTCAGGACCTCCAACATGAAAGAGCACCTGTGAACAACAATCCTGAAGGCAGGGGCCAACAGCTCTACCACCACCCAAACAGAGAAGGCTCTTCCTTCATTTGGGAACCAGATTTTAAAACTGCAGCCCCAGAGACAATTCCCAAAGCCTTTTCACAACTTCCATGAAGAGACCTCACCAAGAACCACAGCAAAGAGATGTAAAAATGTCATAACTTTACTGAATATCCATTCACAATTGTGTTCAGTGCACAAAAACTCCATCTTTAGGCCCTGGTGTTTCTACCAAGTGCGCGCACGCGCACACACACACACACACACACACACAATCTCCAGGTTGCTTTTTCTGGAAAATCATATGATAAAAACTCTACAGCCATTTATCTGCTTCATTATCATGAGAACCAAAAAAGTTCCTCCTGTGATAAACAAAAACATTTCCTATGGCCTCACTGCCAAATACCTAGAGGGTAAGTGCTCAGCACCTAAAGATCTCTGAAAACAATGTATTTATCATTTACATATAGCCTAAAAGTCAAGGAAACTTAGCAAAATACATTCATATGTACAGAATGATTGAAATAAGGATGTAAAAAGATCAAAAGCAGGGATTCTTAATTCTAAGGGTCCAGGATATGTTTCATAGGATGCAAGAATCTCTTGAAATTATATTGCAAATATTGTGTTGAGTCTAGCAATTTCACCAGATCCTAAACCATTTTGGTTAACTCACAAAAAAGCCCTAACAGAGCAATGAAACAATTCTAGTATACACTAATTGGGCCTTGATCTTCCTGGCCAAGGCAAAGAAGAAAATCAACAGCTTTCGTCTGATAAAGGAAGCACATTGGTTTATTTGGAGGGAATGACACAAATGCAAAAGTCTGTGAATTATCTTTAAAATAGAGCCAGCTTTAGGAACAATAAGGAAACATGTCAGACAATATCCCCAAGGAGCTTTTAGAGAACAGGCAGACATGTTTTTCATGTCAACCCTTGAAAAAACTATGGGAAAGGAGGCAACACAAGCATGATGCATGCTTTGTGGTATGATCTAACCTTTGTTGTGACCCAAGGCAAGAGCCTATAAAGTCAGCAAGAATGAATATGCACCTACTTGGAAGAACAGTTCATGTTTCCTCCTTATCACATCCCTGGGACCCAAACTAGAGTGTTCCATCACATAAGGGACACCCAGTAAATTCCTAATCCATTACATTATAAATCTTCTAGGCTAGGAGTACAATTTAAAACTCTTCCATTACATTATGAATGAAGAGAAGCACATTTCATGCATCATCTCTAGTTATGCTGATGATAATCATAAATGTTCTCCTTGGGTAAGAATCTATAAGATGATAACTAATTTTCAAAGAAAGAACACATTTAAAAAGATAAAGCGTTCAATGGTCTGAATAGCTGTCAGAAATTTAACAGTCTCTTTAAAATTTAAAACCCATTCTGTATGCCGTTAGCAAAACCTCCTAGGTTTCAACAGGAGCAAATAGAGACCTGTGTTCAGAGACCTGCCCCACACTTGGGCCTGTCACCCTGGACAAGTCCATCAGCCTCACTGTGCCTTGGGTCTCTCACCCTTAAGTTGGAATTAATAGCAGTAACAACCAAAAGGGAATTTAATACATGCAAAGTCCTGAGAAAGTCCTGAACACAGTAAATATTTAACAAATGTTTGCTATTTTTAGTAACAATATGTGGAGAACTAGATGAGAGAGATCCACCAAGTAGAGAATATAATCACATTAAAGACATGTAAGGCCCCTGAGTTGCTCCCTGAAACTCGCTACTTTCTAGTATTACTTCCCTCACTAAGTTAACGTATAGTATCTATACGTTATACCTTATATAACGTTATACGTTATCTATACTAAGATTGACAATTAGTGAGAGCTTTTAATAAGCCAATAGCCTGGATACACTTTTTGTATCTAATATTGATATAGAACTGACCATATCATCTCATAGTCAAGTAATCTGCTTTATATAAATGTACTATTATATTAGTCATGACATTACTTTAGTTTGGCTTCATGAATCAAGGCTAAATTTCATAAGATTTAGAATCCATATTTCCAAAATTCCTTCTGGGTAAGAAAGTCACTTAAAAATCAAGTAATGTTGGGCTTCCCTGGTGGCGCAGTGGTTGAGAGTCCGCCTGCCGATGCAGGGGACACGGGTTCGTGCCCCGGTCCGGGAGGATCCCACATGCCACGGAACGGCTGGGCCCATGAGCCATGGCCACTGAGCCTGCGCGTCCGGAGCCTGTGCTCCGCAACGGGAGAGGCCACCACAGAGAGAGGCCTACATACCGCAAAATAAAATAAAATAAAATAAAAAAATCAAGTAATGTCTTTCCTTGTTCAGTAAAATTATATAGGACAACACATACTATCCATTATCACAAACAGATTCTGTTTTTCAAAATAAATATAAAATAATCTCATTGATATCTCGGCCTCTGACAATTTTATTTTAGTACAAAATACATAACTGAGAATTAAGGATCACTATTATGTTCGGGTTTCTTTGCTTAGGAAAAAATGTACTTCAAGCCTACCACATCTAATTTAGGAAGCAGCCCATCCAAT